AGGATAATCGAGAACAAGGGAGACGTAGAACACTAAATGAATATTGTGCTAAGGAAATAAAATCGTTCTTTAACTTAAATTATCGCTTCTATTGGCCATTATTGTTGTTGGGTCATCTTAAAAGTGCCTGATAGGTAGGCAACATATCCCCTGCAGTGCATGCGTGTACTGCAGGGTGGCCTACACAACCCAGAGTATCGCAGGTGTCAGCCTCCTCTAATACCAGGGTAATACGATATTCCGAATGATCGTGTTAAACAGAAAAACGGATGCACGTCCTTTTAACGGTGAGCGACAAAATGAGGTCATTTCGACATAATTTTGACGTGGCATAATTTCCACGTGGCATAATGCGTTTTAGACGTATAGGTAACACATTTTTTGAGCATTGTCTGTTTTTCAACCGTTGCTCATCCTGTCTAAGAAAACTCTTAGCGTACAATAAAGACAAATGTTCATTAGTTAGTAAATTGAGTTTTCCCGCGTGAGAAGCTCCTATTACACTAGTCTGTAATGGAGAGGGGGGGGGGCTAGTAGCCTACCGGCGAGAAACTGCGGAGCTCCCGGACTCTAACTTCCGGGTTCACATCTTGGTAACAGTCCGAAAAAATTTCGTATTTTGTCTGCAAACGGGTAAACAAATTAACAAAACATAAAAATGTTGGACTAGACAGATTACCACCCACTTACCACTACTACCTCTTTTAAGTGACCACGATCTGACCTCTGGCCCCCTCTGCCCGAGTGCCCTCTGTGCCTCATCTGCCTTTCAATCCGTTCCTTCCTTTATTTATTCTGTGTCTTTCAGAAGTCTCGTGTTTTCAAATATAGATTTAAAGCTCAATTGTTATTTTTGGGATAATTTTTCAACTTTTGCCTTTCCTCCCAAGCGCCCAGCTCGCCTTCTACGTCACGTCGGCTGCTAGTGCTTCCGTTTACTCCTGTTGTATTGGTAGTGGTGCAGACGCTTCTCTTCGGAAAAGACGCCATCGCAGATTTCGTCCGTCTTCGTCACCCGGCCTCAGGCAGCTCCCTGCGCTTCGCTGCTTGATTTCCTTGGCCAATTTGCAAGTAATGGCTGCTCCAAACGCGGAGGTGAAGCCCGATGTTGCTGCTCAAAATCAGCAACAGCAACAGCAGCAAGGGAAACCCGAAGGTTCTGGTAATTTTCACGGTGGACATGGAGGACGCGGCGGCGGAGGCAGCCGAGGTGGTCCCGGGGGTAGACGCTTCAGCGGCCCCGGCAGGGATCATAGCAGAGGATCTAGAGGTGGTCCCGGAGGCAACGATGTGAGTATTCGTTCGGTTCTCATTATTGCCCATAATTTTGGGCCTCGTTCTCGAAATGTACGTAACGGTCATGGGCTCTCTTTACTGTTGCCCTTAGCGACGTTTGAGGTTATTGCCCTCTAAGTGACAGCCGATCGCCTCGTAGTCATGCTAAAATTTTTGTAATTGTAAACCTTTTCTATTTATTTTTTTTTTTTTTGCTGGTTTTGCTTAATTTGGTTTTGTAATTAAGTTGTCTAGTCATACTCTGACTGGATCTCTAAACTTCTCTCTCTTTCTCAAGTTTCCTAAAATTTCTATTTGGGTTATTCAGTATTTGAAATGTTTGTCTCTTTTCAGATGAACTCTGGAAATAGGAGCTCCATGAACTCTCCAGGAAACAGAGGGGGTGCTGTTAGCACTCCTGGCAATCGTGGAGGACCTCCTAGTAGAATGAGCACTGGTTCTACTAATACTCCCAAGGTTGAAATCAATATTTTTAGTCGAACTGATCTTGCTGTAGCGTAGCCGTTTTAAACATTCACTTTCTAACTTTTCCATTTTTCCTGTTTAGGTAAAATCCGAGGCAGATGACAACACTCCGAATCGCATGCAGAACAGCCTGAATCAGCGTCCTCGGGGTGTCTTCAGAGGTGGTCCAAATAGAGACGACAGACCTCGTGGTGGTCAAGAGGTTAGTAGAAATCTAATTTGTTACATCTCACTAACCATCAACCTTTGTTGTTCCTGTATGCACAGTATCAATTTAAATTCCAGGACCGATTCAATGAGAAACTTTCAACATTGGCTGGCCCAACTCATGACCTCCCTCCCCTAGACCTATCAGAGAAAAAGTTTTCTGGGAAAAACAGGCTTTATATTGGTAATCTTACCAATGATGTTACAGAAGAGGAAATCACCAGTCTTTTCCAAAAGTTTGGTGAAACTTCTGAACTTTTTGTCAACAAGGAAAAGAACTTTGCTTTCATCAGAATGGTAACTGAACCATTTTTGTTCTTACCATAATATTGTGTTGATCAGTGACCTCTTCAACAATAATTTATAACAACTCATCAACTCCCTTGTAATTTTCTCCCAGGACTTCCATGTCAATGCAGAGAAAGCTAAGCGGGAGCTTGATGGCTCTATGCGAAAGGGGCGGCCTTTGAAGGTTAGGTTTGCTCCTAACAGCACAGCTGTCAAGGTGAAGAACTTGACTCCCTATGTCACAAATGAACTGCTTGATAAGGCTTTCTGTATTTTTGGAGATGTAAGTACAGTTTCTATTTTCTTACTCTTTTTCTTCTCTATTCCCTGTGTGATTTTAAAACTGTTTTTTACCCCCTTTCTGAAGATTGAACGTGCAGTTATTATCACTGATGAACGTGGCAAATCTACTGGAGAAGGCATTGTAGAATTTGCCCGAAAGCCTGGTGCACAAATGGCTCTGAGAAGGTGCTCTGAAGGGTGCTTCTTCCTCACATCGTAAGTTGTTATAGATGCTAGATATGTTATTTAATTTTCCAGAATTTTTGTAAATTAAATATATCATTTTTCTAGCTCACTTCGCCCTGTCATCCTTGAGCCAATAGAACAATTAGATGATATTGATGGTTACAGTGAAAAAGTAATACCAAAGAAGAGTTCAGACTATATGAAAGCCAGAGAGGTAAACAGTAATACTAAATACATACCTGTAATACAGGGATAAGTTCCTCCCTATGTTTTCATTTCTGTCCATATTTTTATCTATCTGTTTTTTTTCTTCTTGTTTTAGGTGGGACCACGTTTTGCGTCTCCTGGAAGCTTTGAGTATGAATATGGTACACGCTGGAAGCAGATGTATGAAAGGCGCAAGCAGAAGGAGGAAGCACTGCAACGAGAAATGAAAATGGAGGAGGAAAAGCTTGAAGCTCAAATGGAATATGCCAAGTATGAGCATGAAACTGAGATGCTCCGTGAACGTAAGTTCCTTCATGAGATTGTTGCAATCTTAAAATACTGTGATGTACTTGCTGTAAGTACATAGTGTCTGGCATCCCTCGTCATGGTTTATTTTTATTCCATAGAGTTAAGACAACGCGAGCTTGACCGAGAAAGACAAAAGAGGGATTGGGAGCTCAAAGAAAGACAAGCAGAGGAGCAACGACGCCAAGATGAGGAAATTATGCGCCGACAGCAGGAGGATATGTCCATGCGCATGCACCACCAAGAAGAAGAATTGCGGCGGCGCCAGCAAGAGAATTCTTTGTTTATGCAGGTGAGGATCAAATGCTTGTTGGCATTCTAAAACCTCTGAAAATTTTATTGTGTCTAACTTATATTTTGATTTCATGGTTTAGGCTCACCAGCTTAGCAGTCTCCTTGACCAACAAGAACAAGCCATGGGAAACCGAGGAAATTATGAGTCTCCTCAAGGTGGAGATGCACCTATGCGTGATTATGATGCAGCTGCAGGTAAAATATCAACAGGAATTACTGTTTCTTATTTCTAATTGATTAGTCTACATTAAGTAATATTGTATTTCTTTCTAGGACAAGGACAAATTCCATCGGTAATGTATTCTACTTCTCAAATATCTATATAACTATTGTTTAGAAAGTATTTTGTTGGGAATCTTCAGAAACCACTTGAGCTGATGTTTGAGTGAATGAACCATTAGCCTAAACGAGAATTGCTACTGCCAACTAGAAAATTCATCACAATGCCTCGCCCTAAAGAGTTACAGTCTTTAATTTGGTCTTTTGATTGTTTGGGGGATCCTGGAGGATTTCATGAGTTAGTTCAAACCTTGAAGTTTGTGAGAAAGCCATTCAAAGTTTAATCTGTTGGAAGCTCGTGGATGAAGTTTTGGTCTTGAACTGAATCTGCTATAACATATCTAAAACTTAGAAAGCAATTTCGAGGCCTAAACATTGAGTTTTTATTTTGTTGGGGATGGAGTTTATTACTGACTTCTAACTAATCTTGGTAATTGTAGCTCAGCCGAACCTTTGTTTACTGAGCTACCCAATCAGAACTTTTAGGTTCTAAATCACACATGACAGGAATTGCGTTCTTTTGTTGCAATTTTTTTTTAACTAAACGACTGTTGCCTCACCTCTGGTGAAATACTTTTGAGGAACCGGCTTTCTGAGGTGTGGGATGATGTCCCCAACGTTTCCTCTCAACATGTTAGGAATCTCTTCCATGTTATCTTCATGCAAGGAGTATATATGCTGATTGTCCATTTCATCAGTCTTTCTGAGTAGGTGGTGATTCCCTTGCAATATAGTGTACTTTTTATTCACTAATCAAAAGGTAAGTCATTTAGGTAACGGAAGTTGTCTATCTGCTACTGGAAAGAAATCTATGTCACTACTTCATGACAGGAATTGACAGGAATTTTAAGTTGCAAGTCTGCCTTTCTCAGTTAAGAAAACTTGTATGATGCACAAGTGGCCTTGTGTAGCAATTTACTCACAAGAGAGGCCTAAGTGTACCACCAGTGTTCATTTGCCTTTTTGCCATGACCACTTGACCATTTTCCTTTAGACCTGAAGCAAATGTTCATTTCTGTTCCTTTGTCCTGTATTAATGCATTAGAATAATACCAGTGAAAGACATTTGCTGCTGTTGTCAAGTTAAGGAAAGGAAATGATTGAGCGGAACACATTTACAAAATGTTTAGGCTAGAAACGATAGAATTTCCCTGTAGTCACTTTTTCTTACAGGGAACATCTTTTGACATCTGGAAGACAGCTGCTTACTTTGATTGGATGATGATGGTCTCTTAGCGTAAATAACATGGAAGAGAATTTGCTAATCTACTTGAATACTACTACATCCTTGAGACGTTACATCTATTCCACAGATCACATTATTTTACTCTGAAGAACTTGACTTTGAAGAGTTTTGGAAATGCTTTGCTGAAATGAAATGTTGCTCTGGGCAGGCTCAAAAAGACGTTTTTGATTCATAGTTTCTGAGTTTGTGTGATGAGATCTTTTATCAGCCACTGATGCTGGCCGACAAGTCTTACAGCGTCTCTCTGTGCCGGAGTTTTATTACACTTAACATGAAAGCGACCAGAATTTGAATAGTAGGAGCAATTGCAGTGCCCGATCTGCAACTATTTGAATGTTGGTTTTCTGGTGGACTTCCGTTGTACTACCCGTGTTTGAACTGACTCTAGATGCCTTTGTCGTTTAATGTGGTTATGTTGACAGTGTCATTAATTTGATGACGTATATGGTACTTAAAGATCCCTTTGGGTTGTGGATTGACTTAGTTGAACCGAGCTGGTTGGGAAAAGGGATGCATATTACTCCGATTTCTCCAGGAATTGATTTCCTGTAATAATCCTAACTCCTATATCCCCGAAATCTTTCCTACCCTCTAATGTTGCATCTCCATACCCAATTGGCAAATAACTTCATCATTGGATGCGTCAGGAGCGTGGAAATTGATGATTGCTCTAACCTGCACAAGATGATTTCTTGTGAACCCAGTTGCTATTGACAGCCATTTAACTATGTGGAAGTCTTTAGTAACTTATCTAGTGATGGTAGAAATAGCTGAATCTCTGTCCTTCCTGTTTTGCAGGATAGTGTCAGTGAGCAATGCTTTTCTCCAGGTTGTTTTGAAACAATATTCTGAAGTTTGTGTTGGAGGGGCCTCTCGTGTTGACATGCTTGCCCACAGAAACATCTCTTTGTATTGCATTTCCATTACCTCAACCTTCTTTTTGATGATCATCACCCATGTCTAACCCCAAGTTTTCTCCCTTTTTTTTCTATGTGTAATTTTGACTTGCCGTCAATTTTGTTGATGGTTGCGTGCTACATCTATAGGATCCTAAGGCTTTCATGGACGCTTACGAGCGTGGAGGCCGCTACGACAACCAACGAGGAGACATGATGGACGATATGGCCAATGGTGGTGGCCGTAATCGATCTCGCTGGGGTGCTCCTGAAAGGGCTAGGGTTGATGACTACCAGGCGAAGAGGAGACGCTTTTAATGAAATTGTAAATTATTGACTATTAGGAGGCTTTGCTCACATGAGCTTTCAACCTTCTCAATGGGACGGAGTTTATCTATCTAGGACATATTTACAGCACTCTCATTAAAATATATGAATTAAATTTAATGCAGATTATTGCAGTCATCTCTTGAGTATATACTTCATATAGTGTGTAACTTGGTGTTAAATGACTTGACTATTTGGTCATGATTAAAATTAGGATGAGCTACTAAGATAGTTCTGATAGTGTTAGTGGTATGCAATCTTGCAATATGAATCATGCATGATCATGGTCTTTCAAAAGGAAAAATTTATTGTTTTCAGATTATTCTAACTTTTTTCTGATTGCTACTTTATTGTATGGTAGTGTTACCACTAGTTGAATGACAGTACTGTTTGTGTATAAGAATTCTTATCGAGCTGATCAAGTTTATCTTATGTTTTATTTTTTATTACAACCATTTTGATTGTATGAGCCAATTTATCT